ATAATAAATAAAATCGCACCTTCGTGTCTTTTGATATCAAATATATCAACATTCGTTGATATATTTGATATCAAAAGACACTCGGGTGTGATTCTCTCTCTCTCTATATATGTTTGTCTACTGCCCAGTCACCAATGTGTCAGATGGTTCTGTGCCACTGACCACATGTGATATCACCCGTGAAGATCCAGGTTAGAATAGGTCTTCAGCAAAACATGCTTGTCGTAAGAAGCGACCAACGGGTTCGGGTGGTCAGGCTCGCTGACTTAGTTGATGCATGATTTCGTTTCCCAATTGCGTAGATCGCTGCTCATGATGCCAATCACTGTATCGTCTAGTCCAGTCTCGATTATTTACAAACCGGTGTCATATAGCCCGGAATATTATTGAGCGTGGCGATGAACATCAAACAAAGAAACAAACAAAGAAAACGTGAATCCATTTACTCGCTTCACCGTTTCATCACAATGCTCCATCGACTCATCACATCGGTTCAACACGTCGGTCCATCGTTGTATCACATCACTCCTTCGACTGGTCACAGACTCATCACATCGGTTCATACTTTTATCGCATCGTCCCTTCCTTTCATCCCATTATAACATCGTTTCTTAGCAACGTCTGTGCCTTTCAACATATCGCTCCATCGTTAGAATACCACGTCAAACCCTTCTCGGCCATCAAAAGAACCTATCCCGAGAAGATTCCTACTTAATAGATCTAGATAATAGATCGAAATAAACTCTTTATTCAAGAAATAAACGACGAGTGGGAGTTACTTATCGTACAATAAAACACTGCAGGAAGAATAAACCTCGAGGGTCGCAGCCCCGAGCGGTTTATTTTCCCTGCAGTGTTTTATTGTAATTTACGACGTCATCAAGTTGCTATCGCATGTTCGAATCTCCAGAAATGACTTCATGATAGAACAATGTTTAGAACAATGTTCGTAAAATAAACCACGTTTCGTTATTCATTGTTCTCAGCGATTTATCGAGTAGCTATCTTATGTTTTAATTTTGATGCTGTCCATTGTTTCAGTATTCAAAGACAGTTATTGTTTTGGCAAGAATGGATTGTTTGTATGCACCATAAACAAATATTTAGGTTTGAATTTAAATCTACGGATAATTAAAACTAAATTCATTCAGATGTTTCCTCGGGTTTTATCTACTACTGACAAAGACACTGGCAGCTGTGTCACAGCGGTGTAATGGTCCCATTAATGCTGTCTATTTGCTACCTCAGATCCTCCCTGTTTCACGTTGCACACATTCCAGGCTGTCACGGACAGCTGCTAGGAGAGCAAACAATATCTAGCAGCATATGGGCTTTACTGTGGTCATGCAATCTGGATACATGACACTCATGACATACTAGACGTCTACCGTGTACAGAGGGGACACTTGAACATGGATGGGAACTACGTTGGTAAGTTGTTCCGGGATGTCGGACTGATACAACAGGGACACGTTAGAGCAGATGCAACACGACAACTTCAGTATTATGTTCTTAAAACAGACAATAAACAATGGACTTTCGTCGTCTATGTGTTTTCAGGGCAGTGCACACTGGATTCGTTATAAGTTGAAAATGATGAAGTCACCTTTGATCTTATTTATTCTGAGACAAATATCTCGTAAATGTAACCAATTGGGCGATGTGTGATCTCCTGAATATGACAGATCTCTATTGGCCACTCGCTACAACAAATAGAGGTAATTGTAGACAGGGGCTATTACACGTAGAGTGTGTTGAATGTGACTTCAGTGATTGATAACATAATTACACGATTAAAAGCGGCATTAGATCATAATATCTTTAACCCCAGAGGCAAATATTTGATATGTGAACAATTGTGTTACGCCTATCCACAAGAACAGAAATATATCCCAAAGCTACACACCAGTATCATGAATTATGACTAATACAATATGATTAATGGTTTATATGACTCGGTTTGCACAGCCGGTTATGACATCTCAGGGTCTGAGATCTCTGGTGTACTGACATCTCTGTGGCTGCAGGATGGGTACTTGAGTATATGTATGTGATGTAGGCCGATCTACCTCGGGTACAGTAGGGACGGTGAATGTGTAGGACACTATGACGATGACTGCGGCGGTGAATGTGCTGCCGGCTGACGGCGACTGTGAATGTGAAGGTGACTGTGACTGCGGGCATGACGGTGAATGTGACAACGACCGTGGGTGTGACGGTGGCTGTGACTATAACGTAAGTGTGACGGTGGCTGTGACAGTAACGTAAGTGTGACGGTGGCTGTGACAGTAACGTAAGTGTGACGGTGGCTGTGACTATAACGTAAGTGTGACGGTGGCTGTGACAGTAACGTAAGTGTGACGGTGGCTGTGACAGTAACGTAAGGGTGACGGTGGCTGTGACAGTAACGTAAGTGTGACGGTGGCTGTGACTATAACGTAAGTGTGACGGTGGCTGTGACAGTAACGTAAGTGTGACGGTGGCTGTGACAGTAACGTAAGTGTGACGGTGGCTGTGACAGTAACGTAAGTGTGACGGTGGCTGTGACTATAACGTAAGTGTGACGGTGGCTGTGACAGTAACGTAAGTGTGACGGTGGCTGTGACAGTAACGTAAGGGTGACGGTGGCTGTGACAGTAACGTAAGTGTGACGGTGGCTGTGACAGTAACGTAAGTGTGACGGTGGCTGTGACAGTAACGTAAGTGTGACGGTGGCTGTGACAGTAACGTAAGTGTGACGGTGGCTGTGACAGTAACGTAAGTGTGACGGTGGCTGTGACTATAACGTAAGGGTGACAGTGGCTGTGACAGTAACGTAAGGGTGACGGTGGCTGTGACAGTAACGTAAGTGTGACGGTGGCTGTGACAGTAACGTAAGTGTGACGGTGGCTGTGACAGTAACGTAAGTGTGACGGTGGCTGTGACAGTAACGTCAGTGTGACGGTGGCTGTGACAGTAACGTAAATGTGACGGTGGCTGTGACAGTAACGTAAGTGTGACGGTGGCTGTGACAGTAACGTAAGTGTGACGGTGGCTGTGACTATAACGTAAGGGTGACAGTGGCTGTGACAGTAACGTAAGGGTGACGGTGGCTGTGACAGTAACGTAAGTGTGACGGTTGCTGTGACAGTAACGTAAGTGGGACGGTGGCTGTGACAGTAACGTAAGTGTGACGGTGGCTGTGACAGTAACGTAAGTGTGACGGTGGCTGTGACAGTAACGTAAGGGTGATGGTGGCTGTGACAGTAACGTAAGGGTGACGGTGGCTGTGACAGTAACGTAAGGGTGACGGTGGCTGTGACGATGACTCTGACTGGCAGGGCGACTGTGTCGGCTCACATGTTTAGTTGTGGCTTCACCTCGGCGTCCACGGTTTGTGTCGTTTGTCAACACGGTTCGTTCGCCCGACAACCCCTAGGGGTGTCCCCCTCACACGTTTGTGGGTCAGGCAATACAAACACATTCACTCTCAGCAGCAGCAGGTATCTGCAGAATCTCTCACAACACTGCAGGGAAATGTCGGTGAAGTGGCCAATCACCTTTACCGCTACTGTTCTACATGTCACGTAGAAGTGTAGAGAACTGTACCACACTGAGATACATAGCTGTTAAACATAGTGGAACTATCTGTGATACCATGAAACACGCTGAGATAAACAGTGTGACACAATGAGACAACCTGTGACAGCATAGCACACTGATATAAATTGTGGTAAATATTAAGTGTCACATCGAGATAAACTGTGACGTATAATATTATGACACATTGAGAAAACCAGTGACAGATAATTCATGAGACACACTGAGACAACCAGTGACAGAAAATTCATGAGACACACTGAGAAAACCAGTGACAGGAAATTCATGAGACACACTGAGAAAACCAGTGACAGATAATTTATGAGACACACTGAGAAAACCAGTGACAGGAAATTCATGAGACACACTGAGAAAACCAGTGGCAGATAATTCATGAGACACACTGAGAAAACCAGTGACAGATAATTCATGAGACACACTGAGAAAACCAGTGGCAGATAATTCATGAGACACAGTGAGAAAACCAGTGACAGATAATTCATGAGACACACTGAGAAAACCAGCGACAGGAAATTCATGAGACACAGTGAGAAAACCAGTGGCAGATAATTCATGAGACACACTGAGAAAACCAGTGACAGATAATTCATGAGACACACTGAGAAAACCAGTGACAGGAAATTCATGAGACACACTGAGAAAACCAGTGACAGATTATTCATGAGACACACTGAGAAAACCAGTGGCAGGAAATTCATGAGACACACTGAGAAAACCAGTGACAGGAAATTCATGAGACACACTGAGAAAACCAGTGACAGGAAATTCATGAGACACACTGAGAAAACCAGTGACAGATAATTCATGAGACACACTGAGAAAACCAGTGACAGGAAATTCATGAGACACACTGAGAAAACCAGTGGCAGATAATTCATGAGACACACTGAGAAAACCAGTGACAGATAATTCATGAGACACAGTGAGAAAACCAGTGACAGATAATTCATGAGACACACTGAAGAAGGGCGATACAATGTGTGAAGTCCATTTCTGGTGTCCCCCGTCGTGATATTGGTGGAATACTGCTAAAGGCGGTGTAAAATCACTCACGCACTCACTCACATTGATAAAACCAGTGATAGATATATCATGAGACACACTTTCAGGACACAAACCTGGAGACACACCAGGGGAGACTGAGATGCAAACAAAAAGACAAACGGAAGACAAAACGCATTGTGTGCAGAACACACCAGGGGAGACACCGTGAAACATTGTAAGACTACAGCCAACCAAACACATCATATTCTAATGAGATGACCTAGCCAGTCTGTTTCTTTGCGATACACAGTCACTGGGGCCCAGAGAGTAGTATTGATACAGCAATCAGCATGACTCGTTTAGCATTACATGCATCACCAGTCTATAAAACATGTAAGAATTATTAAAGTCAGACATCCTTTTCGCAACACACCCAAGGAAGCTTTTTTATTCATATTACAATTTCAACATACCTGGTACAGGTAGGCGTTCAGCACGAATATTATCTTAGTTTGGACGACAAATCCCATTACATATTCAAATAGCACTCACGAGGAATAGTTCCTGCTCACGATCTGTACAACCAACATGAATAAAACATTGAGTTGAGTTTCCTGCAGTATCTGAGTCTTAGGGTCGTCATGGCGTGTGTGTTATGAAATGACCGAAAGTCAAATGTACAGTGGTCAAACAGATCAGTCAAAGTTACATATTGATCATATTTGTTTTATTAAACAGTTTGTGAATGTGAAATGAACTGACGTTATTACAACTGTAAATGTTGTATTTGGTGCACTTATATCGGGTACAATGTAACGATTTTTGCCATTGTTTGTGAGGACGTTCAATTCCTACCAGCGACACAAATGTAGGGTCAGCACAGTGGCCTGGTCGCATGGTCAGAACATGTCTAGCCGACCCCTGTATCAACAAGCTGGCAGGTATAGGAGGGGCTCATCATGTCAGGTAGAAAGGTCATAGCATCTTTTTCGTACATTTTATATCGTCTCGTCTGACAAATCAGTGTAGCTGCAGATGATGGCTGTGTCGTGTCCTGACCTGTAAGTGTGTGTATACATATGATATATGTATAACGATTTAGCTATAGTGTTGCAGTACTTAAGCTTCAAAAAGGGGTGGTACGCACTCTTGCATTACACTTCGCCGCAGATGATGTAGTCGGGCGTAAAGTCATTATAGGCAAGTCACTGTGAAAAATAATTCACAATGTTCTTGTTTCAATGGCACTGACTAGAATCCAGTTTTCAAAAAAATGGTATCTGTCAAACAGTTTAAGCAGGTAGTATGGTAGGTAGGAGGGTAAATGAGCCACCGTTTCATAACATATAACAAGCCAGGTGCAAACACTGCACACAGCGACGAGGGATAGATAATATCACATGTAACTAGCACCATAGCTTTCAGACACCATAGATCACCAGAAGAGAATCAGCCCAGCCAGGAGACACGTGACTGGCGACGTCATTGTTGTTGCCTGTCTCCCCCCTGCTGCACTGGGTGAGGGTGAGGACGCTGACTGTGACGGGGTAGTTATGGGTGTGTCCATCTCGGATCGTGGCTGTGACGGGCTCACTGTGTCCAGCTGTGACAAAATGATGGTCAAACTTATAATTAGACCTAACAATGGGCTATTTGTGTTGTCTATTTGTCGTATAGGTACCATGTACAGGTAGGTACCCCACGTAGATTCTGTACAAATGTTCCTCAACCCAAATCGGAATGCACATATATACATGTACAATGGCTTGGCAATGGACGGTACTGTAGTCTATTACATAACGCACAAAATCGGTTTATTGGCAGACATATGTACGTAGACTTCCTAACTATTGTGGTATGTGTACGTTTACTCGTGCCAACCGCATTGCCAAGCTATGGTAAATTTGTATATTCCGACTTCTGCTTCTGAATGTTTCAGCTACCTGGGGACACAGCTATGTAGTGCCATGTACGACAAGGGGCATTTATGATATGAAGAATGCCCACGGAGCATATGTGCATACCGGACTGCCAATGAATATTCGTTAACGTTCTGTAGCTGTGTAAACAATGGCTTCTGACGATCCTTGAGAATCACCTGGGTTTATGAGCAGATTAACATTTACTCGCCTTTTGAGGGTCCATGCTTGACGACATCGACGTGGCTGCTGAAGACGAGGATGAAGATGTCGCCTGGGTGGTGGTGGGTGGTGACGTGGTTGTCTGCCCCTCGGTCAGGACATCAGAGGGTAACGCTACCCAGTATGAGTACTGACTTACCACGATCGTTGTGCTATAAGTGGGATAAACGGAGAGTTACGTCACAGTCAGCACTGTAAACTCTTCGGGATGATGTTCATCACTGTATATCATTGGACAATCCTGGCTCCATATATACTTTCAACAGTTGATGATGGCATAGTCATAGTAAAATAATATGATGTCTTCTTCTAAGATCATTTGACTTAAGGTTTTAATAGACGGCTTCGACTTTGCTACGTAAATTAGTATTTGAGAGGCTTCTAGTAAAGGATATGGATGTCGTGTGTAAGCTCACCTGAATCGAATGTTGCCCTTTAACGTGGGAGGAGGGTTCCACTGCAACATCAGCTTCGTCTTCTGCCCGGCATCCGAGTGGGTCAACCCAACACTCTGAAGAATTCACTTGATATTCATGGAATGACGACAGACAAGCACCAGTTTACTTCCCAGCTGTCCTACTCCCCACTACGCATACACTTTACGTACTCTAAGGTATAAGATATTGTTCTTACGAAATCGCAGATCTGTTTAGTTCCGTCTATTGGAGTGAATGTCCCGACCGCATTTCCTCGACTCGGCCCGGGGTCGGTCACTCTGGCTTGAATCAGGAAACCCTTGAAGAACCCACTGTTGGCAGCGAGCGTAACTGGAACAGACAAACATAGTGACAGATAGTGACGGACAGTAACAAATACTTCGGCTAATATGAGCTTGGACACTAGGTGGATGCATGGTGATGTGTCAGCACTTGTAGAACTGTGACATTCTCACCTGTTATAGGAACACCTGGGCTGTAGGTTGTGTTGGACAGGATGATGTCGACGGGTGCTGGGGGATCACGGGGTCGGCTCTCGTGTTGAGGAATCATGTCAACACACGCCTCCCTTCCTGCGCCATAGTGGTGTCCTTCAAGTGACGTCATTAATAACGGCCCCATCAACACCCCTAATGTCACGTGGTGTCCAACATTCATTGCTAAAGATTTGTGAAGAACGTGAACCTTTAACAGAAAAAGTGAAAACACCACCATAATGTCCACGAACCAGTTACGTCTGAAGTGGAACAATAATTTATATGTAAATAGTCTTGTTATGCTGAGGCGCTAAAACGCTAAAGTAAAAAAAAACCTCTCATGTGAATATGGCGCAAATATATATTCCTCCACGTGACATACGACCATTACATTGCTCCACGTGACATACGACCATTACATTCACCCACGTGACATACGGCCATTACATTCCTCCACGTGACATACGACCATAACATTCACCCACGTGACATACGACCATTACATTCACCCACGTGACATACGACCATAACATTCACCCACGTGACATACGACCATTACATTCACCCACGTGACATACGACCATTACATTCACCCACGTGACATACGACCATTACATTCACCCACGTGACATACGACCATTACATTCCTCCACGTGACATACGACCATTACATTCCTCCACGTGACATACGACCATTACATTCACGAAGAGAGTCTCTGGGCTCCTTTTTCTTATATGGTACTAAGATAATTTAACAAATTCTTTCTATAAACTATTTTTGTTTCAGAGACCTGTCTATACCTAATGACGTGTGATATGCTTCTCAGCATCAGTCAGCTAATAACCGACGATGCAGGGAGTTATTATAATTGAAGTGGAAATGCAAGTAGGGCGTGTGTTAAATGTCCTTTACTTACATAGAAATAGGTTTAAAACTATCACAGAACAACTGGCTGAAATGTATCAGAAGCCACTGTCTTTTCACAATAATTACCAAGACCCCCCCCCCCCCACACACACACACACTGTTTTAAAAGCTTTTGCTATAGAGTAAGTTATAAAGGTACACGTTAAGATCTTACGACACTTTCTATATTACTGCTTTGTGTGTATTTCTATCTGTCTGTCAAACCTGTCATGCCCTATGATTTACGTCCCGTGACGTTTGTCAGGTGTAGGAATAATGTTTACTTCGTATGCCCACTTAGTATGTTTGTGTCAAATATGATGTTACATTACATTATACGTACCGCCATGGATGGTTTCAAGGAAGAAAGATTGATGGTTTGATTGATTCGGGATGTCCCCCAGTAGCACGTGTGGCAAACAAACAGAAAGTAGACATGGGTGTGTTATATGCTGTTACAGGGGAGCTGAGCCGTGCCAACCAGGCCAACTGATCCATAAACCCCTCAAGTATGACGAACGACGTGTTGTCTTCCAGATATAGATCTCTGAATGTTCTTACGCGACTACCACAGCCCCGCGGGCTTCTCACGTGAAGCGTGTGCAGCTCATCATCTGAGACCCGTGTGGGGCAGGGTACACGCTACATCATCTGAGACCCGAGTGGGGAAGGGTACACGCTACATCATCTGAGACCCGAGTGGGGAAGGGTACACGCTTCATCATCTGAGACCCGTGTGGGGCAGGGTACACGCTACATCATCTGAGACCCGTGTGGGGCAGGGTACACGCTACATCATCTGAGACCCGTGTGGGGCAGGGTACACGCTACATCATCTGAGACCCGTGTGGGGCAGGGTACACGCTACATCATCTGAGACCCGTGTGGGGCAGGGTACACGCTACATCATCTGAGACCCGTGTGGGGAAGGGTACACGCTACATCATCTGAGACCCGTGTGGGGCAGGGTACACGCTACATCATCTGAGACCCGTGTGGGGCAGGGTATACACCACATCATCTGAGACCAATGTGGGTCAGGGTACACACCGCATCCTGTGAGACGCATGTCGGACAGGTTACAAGCCGGCAACAATCTATCGATATCTAACGCGTGAATAACGTGTTAAAGAGAGGTATTACGCTGTTCTGTAACTATCGACACGACTACATGCTGGAGCTACATCCTACATGTAAAACATATATAAACATACCTTTTAGAAACATGGGTTAGACGTCAGTGAATAGTCCATTATCCTCGATCAGTAAACAACTCCGTCACGTGATGATCGCACATTATACAGGTGACAGTAACTGGTTCTACGGGTCTGGCGTACGGCAGTCGCACACACGCACTCGGCCGCTTTGTCGGATCTTTCCGTAAATCTACCCGTAAAAGGCTCTCTTTGCCTGAACCAAATATGAATAAATTACGTCTTTGTGTACAGACAGAGTGTGTAATGTCATGTTACAGAACCAGATTATTTGAGAGTTCTCATTCCCTTTATTTCCGAATAAAATCACTGACATCAAGACCTTCATTATCGAGACGAAAATTCAGTCATGAATATAAAATAAAAATATAGTGCGTGCGTGCGTGTGTGCTTGCGTAAGATAGGGAATGAACCATCCTCGACATTGCTTGTCAGGTGCTTACCGTGACCATGTTCCACTTTATATTGGTTGTTATCTGCGTCCCTTACAAACCCATTCAGAAATAACAGTACACGAAGTGCCACTACAGGCCAGTATAACAGCAGTAATTGTACATCTTCAATAGCTGAGATTACAGCATCTGTTTCGTAATTCTTCTCACATCTATGATTTTGTTGTGTTTGTTTATCTTACTACTCTGTAGACATAAACCACAAGTCCTCTTCAGAACTCAGGATAAGCTGATTGATGTGGAGCCCCGACAGCCAGAGAGGAAGAGCTCATCTGCCGCCGCTGCTGAGCCAGGCAACTCTCGTCCACTTGCAGCTCTGTCATCTTCACCAGCCAGGGGCCCCTTCAGAAGATCAATATTTATAAGATACACTCCACACGGTGTTTGTGACCGTTTTAGCCTTGCATCTATGCTCCTATGGAGAGACTGGGTGAATCTCGACCCTATACAGATACAGATAGATTAGGGGAAAATGGATAACGTCAAGTGAAACGTTTGTTTTCATTACTTGGTTTTAGAATCCGTCGATTTAAATTTCGCCCACCGACCCTTTTGGTAAAAGTAAAATAAATCATGCTTGCACGGCGATTTCAAAGAGGGTCGGTCGGGGAAAGTATGTATTTTGCCTGGTTGAGGCTGGCCTGTGGGGATTCCTAGTTAGACTTTGCCTCCAACAAACTTGACTTGTAAGGACTGGATGGATCGTCAGGCTGCCTGACTTGGCTGATTGTGTGTCATCGTACCCTTACGGCGTGGATCGTTGCATATATCAATCATTGTTTTGTCTGGTCCAGAGTCGATTATTTACAGATCGCCGTCATATGGTTGGAATATTGCTGTGTGCGGCTTTAAACAATAAACAAACAAACAAAGGAAATACTTTCGCCCGTCTCCCCCTCTAAGAATTGTATATGTATACATTGCTGCTCAATCCCTTTAGATATATATTTTTTTGAGGGGGGGATACAGGCGGAAGGCTTACCCAGACAAATACTATGAACATTATTTCAGTTATATCACGGCATGTCAGCTAAATGTAAGAGAAAACCCCAAATGTTGCAGGTCTAAGGATCTGCGAATCTGAGATACGAACACAAGATAATATGATTATGGCCATCCCTGTCGACTGCAGTCAAAGCTAAAATGAGGTTCTGGTGGTCACGCTTTGATGCCATCATGGTTGTCTGACATCATGCCCTGGCGGAGTGGGGCGTTAATCATGCGATCAACCACTGGTTGGATTGGCCAAGACTCGATACTACACGCCGATATAGCTGGAATATGGCCGACTCACTTCATGGGGCATGTGTAAACGTACAAACAGTACCTGCACAACACACCTCCACAACACGTCTCATAAACACAGTTTGGCATTCTTATTCATTTCCACACATCATAACCTTAAAATAATGAAGGTGGCAGTGACCACGAAACAATATAAAGGTTCCAGAAGTCCGTGCCGTGATTCACGCCGCACGCTCCCCGCACGTGGAACTCGTCTATCTGTTAAACATGCTGGTAAACAGTCTAAGCACTCCCTTCCTCACTTTCCATATTGCAGTGCTTAATAGCTTGGGCAATTCGCTACATATTTAGATATTTCTATGGGTTTTTTTATGAATGTGATGCTAACATATTTACTATGTTCTCCAAAGTAGCTGTAAAGTAAATGGCCTGTGCCTGACCCAGCAGACGTCATTAGACAATTCTGTCTCTACTCGTTCCTTGCGAGTATTGGAAATGAGGAAGTGTCAATAACTGCTGCGTGATACAGAGAGAACGTTGTCGCGAGCGGTTAGTTAGTACCGCTAAGCTTGCTCATTGACTATTGATGTATACATTGGTTGATTAACACTGTTTGAGTACCGCAATAATGAGATGTGCTCGTGCAATACGCCTATCGATCACGGAGTTATCTCGACCCTACTCCGTGAAGTACCTTCATTAAACACAAACCTCTTGCACCACAAAGATGGATTTCTACATTAGGGTTAAACTTAACACGTTAGACTCCAGATGTACCAGAATACTCTGTCAGACGACAATCAATATTCATCTGTGAAGTCACAAGTATTGATACACCAAGACAGTGCACGAAGCTGGTAGTGTCTGTCTGTACATTCAAATCTTCTTCACTTTACAGTGTTTGCAGTGAAACAAATAGGCTTCTGAAAAACACACACCACATCACTCTTTCGGTAAACTATTGATGCATACGCATTGATTCCTGAAGCACATTGGTGTTGCCAGATTTCTCACCATCAACAGACAATTCCCTTGAAATCCCACCTCTGCGCTGGAGTGACAGGATATCTAGATTGCCGTGGGTTGATTCTTCCCCAAAATATAATAAATATGTGTCAAATAAATTCTGTTTTCCTAAACTGTCTGTTGTGTGGCGGGTTACTCTATTGATCATGACGCAGTAAGCCACTTTGAATGAGCACGATATCTCTAACGCGAGAGGGATCTAAACATCATCTGATGGATTTACTGCCTATAGGGTGCTCTACGATCAATAGCAGCTCTATACAGAGTTACCCCCCTTCGTATGTGCGTAATCATTGGAGCTTCGTGAAAGGTTAATCTGCGTGGTTGGAAGCATCGCTTGTGTACGTCGGCATTCGCAGTCGTGTTGAGGTGCAGTCTCTCTAGGTGTGGTTCTCGCGGCTCATATCCAGCACTGTCAGGGGAGGCACGCACCTGTTGCTGCAGCAGTTGAGGGGGACACGCCATACCTGAAATCATCCCTTTCATCTCCTGATTTTACGTGTGTTTCGTATTTCAACATCAAAATGTCGGATGTACCATTGTCTCCCGGAACGTGTCTCGGCAACTATCATGTCGTGCGTGCTGTGGGGAGGGGTGAGTTTGGAACGCTGTATGAGTCGAGGCGGGGCAGGGGGTCGTTCACGCTGAGGGGGAAGAAAGTGGATGAACAGTGGGCGGTGGACAATGAAATCAGTATGATGAACGGCTTGCCCCAACACACTCACGTTACCACATTTCTCGACAGCGTTGCACATGGAAACACCATTTATTTTGTGCTTGAAGACTGCAACATCGGCACTCTGAATGACTTTCTGATAAAGGAAAAACCGCCAGAGCAGTTTCTTCAAAGTCTGATGTTTGACATGGCTAAAGGTGTATTCCACCTGCATCGGAACAAAATTGTTCACCGGGACCTAAATCCCAACAATGTTCTACTTTCCGCTGGTAACCACCGTCCTATATGTAAGATATTCAACCTGTCCCTTGCCCAGTACGGCAACTGCCACAACCAGCTGGACTCGGTGCCCAACGTGTTGGATATATCAACCCATGCTGATCTTCACCTGTTCTTAACTACCCGGTGTTCAGACAAATTTTGGCCCCCTGAGATAAAAGACCCCGGAGACAGTTTTCGTTTCGCAAGTGACATTTTTTCTCTTGGGCTAATTTTCTTATCCATGGTGTCCTTACGTGTGAAACATGATAAATATCTGTCCAAAGATATTATTTATCCCCCAACAGTGAAGAGGAGCAGCGGCGTGACGCCGTTGTTTTTGTGTTCGTTACAGGATGTGAAAGAAGTGGTGGCGAGTATCGTCAACTCCGCCGCTGTGCAGGACCTGGTGTGTGGCATGCTACACCCCACACACGGGAAGAGACCCCAGGCTGGGCAACTTGTGGCAGCTATGGAGACTTTCGTGGCCCCGGACAGATCGATACCAATAGGCTTTATTGTGCTACTCAGTCTGGCCGTTCTATTAATAGTTGTCATTGTCACCTGGAAACTGACCTTTGACTATTAACTTGACTTTTGCAAATCGAAAACGCTCTTTTTTGAAGATTCACATCTGTTATTAAGACATTGCCATGTAATACAATGGTTAGACTATGGAAAGTTGGGAGCTGTCGTGTGTATTTCTGTACATACACAAATCAGTTGTTTTACCCTGAAGATATATGTGCAGTGACGTGTATGGTAATGTATTGTATGATATATATATATATATATAATTGTGAGTGTCTCCGGAACCACTAAGCGAACAGTCGACGTATTGTTAGTTCTCGCAGTTACTGAGTTACGGTAAAATATATCTGATTCGTGTGCATGATGTATGTGACATATCGTAATTGGTGATATAAATGTTTGAAAACGGCCCTGCGTGTCTGTTGTCTGTTCCGTCCACAACGGTAGATGTTTGGCTGGACATGACGTGTGTCGATCATCTGTGTCCACAGCTGATGTGTGGCTGGACCTGACGTGTGTCGATCATCTGTGTCCACAGCTGATGTGTTGGCTGGACAAAACGTGTGTCGATCACCTGTGTCTACAGCTGATGTTTGGCTGGACATAACGTGTGTCGATCATCTGTGTCAACAGCTGATGCTTGGCTTGACTTGACGTGTGTCGATCATCTGTGTCTACAGCTAATGTTTGGCTTGACTTGACGTGTGTCGATCATCTGTGTCTACAGCTGATACGTGACTGGACATGACGTGTGTCGATCGTCTGTGTCAACAGCTGATGTGTGACTGGACATGACGTGTGTCGATCATTTGTGTCTACAGCTGATGTTTGGCTTGACTTGACGTGTGTCGATCATCTGTGTCTACAGCTGATGTTTCGCTTGACTTGACGTGTGTCGATCATCTGTGTCTACAGCTGATGTTTGGCTTGACTTGACGTGTGTCGATCATCTGTGTCTACAGCTGATGTGTGGCTTGACTTGACGTGTGTCGATCACCTGTGTCTACAGCTGATGTTTGGCTTGACTTGACGTGTGTCGATCACCTGTGTCTACAGCTGATGTTTGACTTGACTTGACGTGTGTCGATCATCTGTGTCTGAGTCGAGCTGTTCCAAACAGATCATGCTTAGGAGCAGACTAACATGTGTAGTGCCTGAAATGAAAATATTTTTAAGATTTACTTAAAAAAAAATTATCTTTCACATATAATGTAAAGGATCACAAGGTCTGAAACTGATGAAATCTTGAATTGCAAAAAAAATTGCAGATTAGTACTGTATTTATCAGCATCGTCTGGATGTTCTATTAATAGTTGTCATTGTCACCTGGAAACTGACCTTTGACTATTAACTTAACTTTTGCCAATCGAAAACGCTCTTTCTTGAAGATTCACATCTGTTATTAAGACATTGCCATGTAATACAATGGTTAGACTATGGAAAGTTAGGAGCTGTCTTGTGTATTTCTGTACATACGCAAATCAGTTGTTTTACCCTGAAGATATATGTGCAGTGACGTGTATGGTAATATATTGTATGATATATATATATATATATATATATATATATATATATATATATATATATATATATATATATATATATATATAAAATTGTGAGTGTCTCCGGAACCACTAAGTGAACAGTCGACGTATTGTTAGTTCTCGCAATTACTGAGGTACGGTAGAATATGTCTGATTCGTGTGCATGATGTATGTGACATATCGTAATTGGTGATATAAATGTTTGAAAACGGCCCTGCGTGTCTGTTGTCTGTTCCGTCCACAACGGTAGATGTTTGGCTGGACATGACGTGTGTCGATCATCTGTGTCTACAGCTGACGTTTGGCTGGACATGACGTGTGTCGATCACCTGTGTCCACAGCTGATGTGTGGCTGGACCTGACGTGTGTCGATCATCTGTGTCCACAGCTGATGCTTGGCTTGACTTGACGTGTGTCGATCATCTGTGTCTACAGCTGATGTTTGGCTTGACATGACGTGTGTCGATCATCTGTGTCTACAGCTGATGTTTGGCTTGACATGACGTGTGTCGATCATCTGTGTCTACAGCTGATGCTTGGCTTGACTTGACGTGTGTCGATCATTTGTGTCTACAGCTGATGTTTGGCTGGACATGACGTGTGTCGATCATCTGTGTCAACAGCTGATGTTTGGCTTGACTTGACGTGTGTCGATCACCTGTGTCTACAGCTGATGTTTGGCTGGATATGACGTGTGTCGATCATCTGTGTCTACAGCTGATGTTTGGCTGGACATGACGTGTGTCGATCATCTGTGTCTACAGCTGATGTTTGGCTGGACATGACGTGTGGCGATCATCTGTGTCTACAGCTGATGCTTGGCTTGACGTGACGTGTGTCGATCATCTGTGTCTACAGCTGATGTTTGGCTTGACTTGTCGTGTGTCGATCACCTGTGTCTACAGCTGATGTTTGGCTGGACATGACGTGTGTCGATCATCTGTGTCCACAGCTGATGTTTGGCTGGACATGACGTGTGTCGATCATCTGTGTCTACAGCTGATGTTTGGCTTGACTTGACGTGTGTTGATCATCTGTGTCTTACAGCTGATGGTTGGCTTGACTTGACGTGTGTCGATCATCTGTGTCTACAGCTGATGTTTGGCTGGACTTGACGTGTGTCGATCATCTGTGTCTGAGTCGAGCTGTTCCAAACAGATCATGCTTAGGAGCAGACTAACATGTGTAGTGCCTGAAATGAAAATATTTTTAAGATTTACTTAAATTTTACTGAAATGAAATCTAGAATTGCAAAAAATATTGCGGACTAGTACTGTATTTATCAGCATCGTGGAAGCTGTGTAATTCTAATGAAAGTAGACGGGGACAAACAGGGAGCTGCACCGTGTAAGCCGGCTGTAAACATGCTGGCTGGGGCAACACTTGCATAGGTGACCAGAGCTACTTGATAATCTGCACGCTACACTTGCATTGGTGACCAAAGTTACTTGATAATCTGCACTGTGGAAGCCACGCTACACTTGCATATGCGACCGGAGCTACTTGATAATCTGCACTGTGGAAGCCACGCTACACTTGCATGGGCGACCATAGCTACTTGATAATCGGCACTGTGGAAGCCACGCTACACTTGCATTGGCGACCATAGCTACTTGATAATCTGCACTGAGGAAGCCACGCTACACTTGCATAGGTGACCGGAGCTACTTGATAATCTGCACTGTGGAAGCCACGCTACACTTGCATGGGCGACCATAGCTACTTGATAATCTGCACTGTGGAAGCCACGCTACACTTGCATAGGTGACCAGAGCTGCTTGATAATCTGCATTGTGGAAGCCACGCTACACTTGTATAGGTGACCAGAGCTGCTTGATAATCTGCATTGTGGAAGCCACGCTACACATGCATAAGCTACCAGAGCTGCTTGATAATCTGCATTGTGGAAGCCACGCTACACATGCATAAGCTACCAGAGTTACTTGATAATCTGCATTGTGGAAGCCACGCTACACTTGCATAGGTGACCAGAGCTGCTTGATAATCTGCATTGTGGAAGCCACGCTACACTTGCATAGGTGACCAGAGCTGCTTGATAATCTGCATTGTGGAAGCCACGCTACACTTGCATAGGTGACCAGAGTTACTTGATAATCTGCATTGTGGAAGCCACGCTACACTTGCATAGGTGACCAGAGCTGCTTGATAATCTGCACTGTGGAAGTAAAGGAACACAACTGGCTCAATTGAATTCAATGTACGGAGGTAAAGGAACACTACTTCCTCCACTGTATGTGGTATATAAGGGAAATAGTCATAATAATGCTTTCAAAAATCCATACACTGAAGTGAAAAAGAATGTACACACCTGATTATTTCCAAAATATGTACATAAGTATTTGGAAAATTTATGTCAAAGAGACGAACCAAACGCAACCATCGTGTTTGTGTCCCCAGAACAGTACAAAGAATGTTTCCCTGCGTTCTGTGTGAATTTTGTTTATAATCATGACTTTCTGTAATTTCACGTGCATGTAATGCATGATCAGTATAAAGGTCAGCCGGTTAAGTTTGTTAGCGTTCAGAATCCAAACAATCACAACAGGAAAATGTCAAGATTGTCAGCGGCGCTGTATGACGCCCACTTAGCCATAATCTATGACTGTTCAAGGTGGACCATAATAAGACTGCTGGTCGTCTAAGAAGTAGTGAACCATTCCATGGCAAGACCAGTACCTGCGCTTACTCCAGTCATGTGACAAGGTTTTTGACGATCGCGCCGTCAACATCACTATGTCACCACGACAGCAGACACACTGGGATGAGATCGTCTGCTGCGCCATGTAGGAGGCCCACCTTAGTCCCCGACCATGTCGCGGGGAGTCCGGCAGTATGAATCGTCGAGATGGTAGAGATGAGGCGAACGACATATCCGAGCATGCACCCAAACATCGCCACGCCAGCACTAGTAATCATGGTTTGGGGAGCCATGTATTTGTAGAGAACAGAAGACCTCTTTTGTCACCATAGAGTGACACTCTGACAGCCCAGAGGTACATGGAGGAAGTCTTGTAGCAAGTTACAACAAACACAAAAGGGGGTCATTCAGAACACCCCCAGGCCACAAACCGCGAAAATAACATCTCTAACAGACACAACATTGACCTATGCTCCCGTGACAGATCCTCCACCGAACACCATCTGGGGAGACAACTCTAAAAGATCGGGTATTAATACACATCTGATATAAGTGGAAAACGTTAACTTTTGTCTTATTTTATTGATAAAGGCAAAGTCAGGATGTGTACTTTCTTTAAGACGTCAGTTTATCTTCAAATTATATTTAAGATATTTATGAAAACTACAATTATAAAATGTATTGTGAAGATGATTTTGGTTATTGCTGGAGCTCTGCAAAAGTTTGATTTTTTAGTAAACTGTTATGCATAGTGGAATTCGCTGTATACGTGCGGCAATGCTTGTTTATGTGCTTCTCTGTAAACATCGCATACGCCAGGCCTGGCCGCCAGACCGGGAATTTCAGTTAAATGTCAAGTTTTAGATTTAGATTCTGGCATATTTGGTTCCCAGGAGAGGGGCATGGCGATAAGGGCTCCTAACAGGCACATACATGAAGTGCAGACATCCAAGCGCAGTTCTGGAAATACATTCTCGACATTTAAAGAACCATTATACCGCTGTGTTCGTAGTTCAGTCGGCTTGTGTGACCTCCACAGCAGCACAAGAAGCATGGAAATTCCATATACTTTAAACATTAAGGGCCAGTGGTATTATCCTGCATTGAAAATATCATGGTCAGTATGCGTTTTAAGTGGAAAAGGTTGCAATGCCCTGGGATGACCTGGGATGAAATCTCTGCATCTAATTGGAATTCCCGTCGACACAGTCGCCAACAAACTGGCGACGATGTGTATGATTCTGCGCAAACAGAGGTGGTCTCACCACCAGTTTTCGACCCCTTACATTTGACTGATGTATTGGCAACCATTTGTATTGCAATATGTTCCAATACAAGTATCTGTATTGCGATGCAAATTGAGATAAAATAGGAGCTCAAGAGTTTTACAGTGATTGACACTGGTGAAAGATGAGGATCTTTTTTTTATACATACCGACGTAACTATTACGATGTCAAAGTCAGCGTGGTCAGTCGCCGCCATTTTGTAGTCATGGATACAGGGTAGAGATAGCAGCGTGAGAGACGAATCACTTCCGCGTTTTTACCGTTTTGTCTATCAAATTCGAAAGGAATCATCATATATGACGATTGTGTAGATTCTAGGTAAATCGATACAAATAATAACAAAACTTGTTATATTTTCTTATTCAGTACTCCGGAACACAGAAAACAACATTGCAATACGTAGTATATGTCAATGCCGTGCAGTCCAACCATGTTGATTACCAAATTCTCTGTTCAAGGCAGAACCTGAGGGTGGACGATGTTTTGTGGCAGGTAAGCTGATCTACTGGGCTTGTTATACAACCTGTCCATGTCTCTATTATCAATGTTAAAATAGCTACCCACTTGAGGTTGGGGAGGCCCCACCTCCAACACACCTACTGCTCTAGTGGTCGAGTGGTGTGAATTTGTCTTCTTAATAGGACAAGAGCAAACTAAAGTGGAGCACACTACTAGATGCACTGATGGACATGTTACAGAGACATGGTTGTCACTACTCAACGACTGCTTTCAGATATGCACCTATTGCTGGAGACCAAATGCGCGAGACGCGTAAATCTCTGCTGTAGGTCTCTACACAAAATGAACTCGTTAGACGTCAATCTCAGCCAACAGAAATATCACCGCACACATGCTAGTCATGTCGGTTTATGAAAACTACTAGTGGCTCTTAAGGTTGCAAGATGAGTATATATATATATATAAGTGATGGCAACCAGAGCTGATACCATGCTTGTCGTAAGACCCATCGTTGTCGGCATGGGTACTACAGATATGTACCAAAGGTACGTTTCCTCACTCAGAAATGTACCCTCGCCAAAATCAGAATAGAGAACAGTACCCGGTACCCTAAATGGCGGACTGGTCCATATTCCTCCACCCGAAAACCGAAACCGGTTCATGTTGTGGTTTCGGCCCGCCTGATTATGAGTGTATTCTGGATAATGCTGTGCATCGTGGGATATTAAGGTACCCACGTACGTAAGCCACTGTGTGTGATGTTCTTCTTATATAGCATGCTGGAAAGCATATCATAGAACAGCATGACAGTTCCGATCTAGAAACTGAAATAAACCTTCCATGTTCAGAGCACCGTTAGGCGCACTACGCAGCGCGGAATGGGCTCATCCCTAAGTACCTTTCTGTGTTCTCAGTTTGGCTAGGGTACATTTCTGTATATAGAAACGTAGCTGGGGTACCGTGCCGACACGCTTTCAGCGTGAGTGAGTGAGGGACTGATTATTGGTTATGCTTTCAACCACTTCTTTGGTAAGCCCAAGACTTGATTGTCGACATGCCGAGGTGAGATAGCTAGAATACTGCACAGGATTCACCCTATACCGCCTGCGCGTGGCTGGGACAGTTGTGATTAAAGCATGGGACACCCCACAGACCTGGCATATAGTCCGTCAACCAAGCATTAAGGCATCCGGTTTTTCACAATTATTTTCCATTAAATCCACAATCACGCGACGATAGTTGGTTATTATCGAATAATAATCCTTGATCTAACTAAAACTACCTGTTTTGTAAAGTTTCCTATCCGAATACAAATAGTTTCTTCATTGTTATCATGTAACTTTGTGACCGCTGACATGATCCTGTGGTGGGGGAACAGATTTAACGTCTCACGGTGACATGATGTGTGTCAAACATGCTTGCTGCATGCATAGCCCTAGGTCATCATACATCTCTGGTTATACCAACAGTATCGGCGGCGAGTCTCGAGTAACGTGGAGATGTGTTGTCAAAGGTTGCCCGTGATATTATTTGTAAAGTGACCATTCGAAACACCATTGATATCTCTTCGTTTTTTCACAAAGCTAACATTGCATGCAACTGGCATATTTCGATGGACTTTATTCCGAATTATCTCCCCTGCTATGCGTTTGGAACCTGCAGATGACGAACCAAAGGGGGCCATCCCAAAACCTAAGAAGAAGGAAAAAAGCTAGACAGTTTTGATAGGTGGGTATTCGTAAGAAATGTCATTCCGCATCTTGTTATTGATTAATTAGTAAAAAGTACGATGACACAGACATTGAACTCGGATTTTCTTTCGAATTCCATCTGATGTAATGTACCGTCTGATTTTCAACAGAGACCTTATTTTAGCGTCCCTGTTTTCAACTTCTGGGAAGGTGTTTTAATCAACAATTCTAGTATATGAAGTGTTTATATGCTAAGTTATTAAAAAACTTGTTACTTTATGACCCATTTTAATGTATTTTATTTTGAGATATTCCCTCAACATCGGACTTGATATTTGGTTGGTTGGTTGTTTTGTTGTTTAACGCTGCATTCAGCAATATTCCAGCTATATGACGGCGGTCTGTAAATAATCGAGTCTGGACCAGACAAACCAGTGATTGATATCATGAGCATCGATCCACGCAATTGGGATCGATGACATGCATCAACCAAATCAGCGAGCCTGACCACCCGATCCCGTTAGTCGCCTTTTACGACAAGCACAGTCGCCGACCTTGATATTTAGGCGAACCTGGGTCATCCATACAGCAAGCATATTTGATACACAACATGTCATTGTTGTGCGACGTTAAACCAACAGTTCCTACCCAAACTACACGGTATTGTCAACGGTCACAAAATTAAAGGATAACTATGAAGAAAATATTTTTATTCGGGCATGAAATATTTCAAAACTGGTATTTTTAGTTAGGTCAATGTTTATTATTTGATAATCACCATCTTTCATCGCGTGATTCTGTGTATAACGGAAAATAATTGTGGAAAACCAGGTGCCACATTGATGGTTGACTGATAATTGTGCGAAGCTCTTTCAAGGCGTCTGCCGTCGTGATCGCCAAACTAATACAACACTCAATTCACGTTAAAAAAAAAGACTGCTTGATGAGTCTCTTACTGTTCTTACTTAACAAAGTATAGTTTCGATCGTGGTGCTTTACTTTAATTTAGCTGAGTACTGTTTCATCTATTTGCAGGTGCCCGCTGCGGCATTTACATCGTGTTGTTGTGTTTAACTAATGACTTGATGAATGCGCACCGAGACATCGCTGTTTCTGGTATCCATCACCTCTTAGCATGCCAGACAAAGACTGCAATCTATCGGTATCGCATGCATATTAAGATTTATTTTAACCTTTCGCAAAGCTGTAGGCAGTCTCTATTCCGCCAGCCTTTGTATATGCCCAAGTTGTTGCCACGCGTTCAATCCCAGGCCTGGTGGGTTGTTTACGTCGCGTAGCTATTGTGTATATGTACGTGTTGAGTTTGTGTACAGCTACACATGGAGTGTTTATACAGTTCCCCTGTACAGACAGGGTTGTACCAGGAGCACGCTTAAAGCCGGAGTCTCTGTTCTCTGTAATTGTATATGTTTTGCCATCACTAAAACCCCAAACAACACCCTTTAGGAGGTGACCTGTGTTGTTTGCGACAGGAATATATATACGCCGGACAGTCTATGTGTATACACAACTCACAGTAGAGGGAACCAACTCACGTTCGAAACATTTATATGGAAACAGCGATTGGTCAAACTGTTCCCTACCAAAGGCAGGCCTATGTACATGTATATATATAAGATATACTTGTTGACAATAAATGCAATTAACTAAACTGCGGTGATCATTGCTGTGAAAACAGTGGTCGTAGAATGGTCTTTAGTCTCTATGACCGTGGAATATAATGGATGAATATTATGATACTAAAACCAATCTCCATTTATCAAGAACGTCTAGCCTGCTCTGTTATGCAATCGGCATCAGGGGAAATATATTTAGAGGAAATAATTTTATTGTATGTCATAGACTATGTTAGTCTAAGTTGTCTACCAAACCGTACTGCCCTAGTTATATGTTTACCTTCCCCCACACACTGCTTTCTTAATTACCCCTACATACCTACACATCCTTCCCCTCCCCCGCACACCTACATTCTCCGTGCAGTTAAACAGTCATGCGTCGTTATTTAAAAGACGATGCTCCGCTGTATAAAGCCTATTGTCAGTGTTCAACCTGTGCCTTGTGTGGAACTGAGCCATTGTGTCTGTGATTAGGGGTGATCCTGAACTATTCGCTGTCTCTACACTGTAAATCCTGATGTGGGTTCTCAAAATCAGCCGGGCTACTGAGCGGTGACACAACAGAGTGTATCACAATACAGCATGAGGGCTCGTCCGGTGGCCTAGATTGGCCCTTTGTGTTGACGACTAACTGGGCCGTGTGTAGTGGTATTCGGAAGCGAGGGGAGCAATGGCTGACAGCTCGAAACCCAGTGATGAAGCTGACGAGACTTGCCTGGCGGGAGATTTCATGTGTGCCGGAGATCTGGTGAGGTTGCAGGTGGACAACAGAAACATCTGCTGGTGTACAAAGGCGAGGAGAGGAACCACTGGTGAATAATTGATCGTGTGTCTCTCTCCTTCCTCGTCCTGGTTACGGTTCCAATGTGTGTTGTATCAGGCTGCCCTTGTGTGTGTGCATATGTGCAGGTCACAGACAAATAGTGGACTCGGGACAGTGGGACATTCTGCTGCTAGCATTAGTGAGAGTTACTCCCCTTAGACCTGTTGACCGAGAAACGTATTACCATTCTTCTCACGGAGAATCTGTTACCGTATTTCCTGTATATAATAAAAACTGTACCCTACCTTATGTACCATAACGTTAAACAGACAATGTGTCGTACATGGAGATGCGGAGAAGGTAGATCTCAAATACGTCAAGCCTAAAATAGACGCCGGGTCATTATGATGTCCGCAAACACACAGGCAATGTCAATGAATACAGGATGTATAGTATCAATGAATATAGGGTGTATAGTATACAAGGAAGTTTATCTGTGTGTAAGTGTATGAGATGGACCTCGTGCAGAGGCCACCATGCAGTTACAGTTTGCAGTTATGCAAACACATGAAACAAATGTAACTTTCACATCGCCCTCTGTCTGTATAGATATGTACTGTTAATGTGTTAATAATGTGGTTGCACATGGTCTCGTGGAGACCGTACAATCACGAATCAGGCGAAGTTAAGTAACGTTGAGTCTTTGGCGAGCTCTTGGATTGGTGAACATGTTCGGCAGCTTGGCTCCCGAGAGTTTCTTAGGCTTCGGTCCTGCTTCACACTGAATCACATATGTGGTGTATCTTTGCCAAGTGACTTTGTTCAATATGTGCCTCTGTTTACCCAGCCGTGAATGGGTACCTCGTAGGATAAGATGGTAATGTGACTCTTAATCTTCTAGCGCCTCACAGGCAGCTTGGGTTGTATACTCCCCAGGTAGCTGAGAATGACAATTGAATGCACACTGATCCACTGTCCGGGGTAATAATGAAGCGCAATAGTCACAATAGCTGACAGGGACATGTACATGCCTAATCTCCAGAGAACGCCGTGTACTTCAGAGTATACGAGGGCTAGTCAAAACGCTCTAAGCCTAACAAACAGAACCAACAATTGTGAAAGTGTTTTTAATTTTAGTTTTAAACATAATCTCCCTGCCCTTCAATACACTTTTCATATCGATAGTGAAGCCTTTTAATTCCAGTCAGGAAGAAGTTTTCTGAAGCCACCCTGAAAAACCCATTGACGACAGCTTTGCCGTCATAGAGCTTTTCCACGAAGGTGTTCTTTCAGTTTAGGAAACAGGGGGAAATCACTTGGTGCCAGGTTTGACGAGTATGGAGGATGAGGAAGCTATTTGAACCTACATTGTCGCACAGCAGCCATTGCAAGTCGAGAGGTGTGAGAAGAAGTCATGAAGTAGTAGAACTCCAGCAGTCAGCATTCTTCGACGCTTTTCTTTGATAGAATCTCTGAGGCGATGAAGCAAATCAGCATAGTTGGTACCGATGGTCGTCTTGTGACAAGGATCACACTCTTTGCATCCCAGAATGAAGCCTTGATTTTTTTGGTACCGGATAAGTGGAATGGTGCCATTCCATGGATTGACGTTTTAAATCGGGATCATAGTGGTAGATCCATGTTTCATCACCGTTACTTATCTCTTTTTAAATTTGACGAAATCCCCCTTAATTAGCTCTAAATATCCTCTGGCGATGTCAGTTCCTTTTCCCTTTAGATCAGAATTTAGAAACTTTGGAACCCAACGAGCAAGTTTCTTATTCATCAGTAAATGTTCATGAATAATAGTTTCAATGAATCCTTGGCTTAGACCTGTGTCTTCCTCAAGTCCAGAAATGGTAATACGTCTATAAGTCTATAAGTTTTTCTATCTCTTTGTTTGAATCTGTATTGATGGAAATTGACCTAGGGTCAGCATCAAGCTTGTTCTCCCAGCCTTAAACATAGCTGCCCAACGTTTAACAGTGGAATAACTAGGGCACTTAGCCCCACAGTTGTGACATGCGGTCATGAATATTTAGGGGAGTACTTTTCTCTAAAGTCAAAAACTTGATGAATGCTCGGTACTCGTTCTTTTCCATTTCTGTGTCCATTTGGACCCCTATCACGACCAACTGGCTGTCACTAATATACAAACGGCCTCAACAGACCAAATACTACCAATTTACTACATTGACTAGTTCACATTGTTGTTGCCCATAGTTGAAAATTGAAAGTCAGACTTAGAACTTTTTGACCAGCCCTCCAAAGTTAAGTACTTGTCGATGCGCTTCTGAGGTTTCATTTTCCTGTGAACAGAATTAACTATACCATGGCGTGACGTCATCACGGTACACAGAGGACAAACATCTTCAAAGGGCAAGGACACAGAGGACTTGAGAGTACTGGAGTGCTTCACCGTCCACTATGTACATCGACAGCCGGACAAAACATGGCGCCACCGCCACAAGACCATGGAGGGCAAGAAACACACCATGCAGGAGTGGGTGGACGTCATAGCCAGCAAGCTAGAGCTGACAGGTGGGTGGACGTCATGGCCAGAAAGATAAGAGCTGACAGGTGGGTGGACGTCATAGCCAGTAAGCTAGAGCTGACAGGTGGGTGGACGTCATGGCCAGCAAGCTAGAGCTAACAGGTGGGTGGACGTCATAGCCAGCAGGCTAGAGCTGACAGGTGGGTGGACGTCATAGACAGCAAGCTAGAGCTGACAGGTGGGTGGACGTCATAAACAGCAAGCTAGAGCTGACAGGTGGGTGGACGTCATAGACAGCAAGCTAGATCTGACAGCCGGGTGGACGTTATAGCCAGCAAGCTAGAGCTGACAGGTGGGTGGACGTTATAACCAGCAAGCTAGAGCTGACAGGTGGGTGGACGTCAAAGACAGCAAGATAGAGTTGACAGGTGGGTGGACGTCATAGCCAGCAAGATAGAGCTGACAGGTGGGTGGACGTCATAGCCAGCAAGCTAGAGCTGACAGGTGGGTGGACGTCATAGCCAGCAAGCTAGAGCTGACAGGTCGTTGGACGTCATAGCCAGCAAGATAGAGCTGACAGGTGGGTGGACGTCATAGACAGCAAGCTAGAGCTGTCAGGTGGGTGGACGTCAAAGACAGCAAGACAGAGCTGACAGGTGGGTTGACGTCATAGCCAGCAAGATAGAGCTCGACAGGTGGGTGGACGTCATAGCCAGACAGATAAGAGCTGACAGGTGGGTGGACGTCATAGCCAGCAAACTGGAGCTGACAGGTGGGTGGACGTCAAAGCCAGCAAGCTAGAGCTGACAGGTGGATGGGCGTCATAGCCAGCGAGCTAGAGCTGACAGGTGGGTGGACGTCATAGACAGCAAGATAGAGCTGACAGGTTGGTGGACGTCATAGCCAGCAAGCTAGGGCTGACAGGTGGGTGGACGTCATAGACAGCAAGCTAGAGCTGACAGGTGGGTGGACGTCATAGACAGCAAGATAGAGTTGACAGGTGGGTGGACGTCATAGCCAGCAAGCTAGAGCTGACAGGTGGGTGGACGTCATAGCCATCAAGCTAGAGCTGACAGGTGGGTGGACGTCATAGCCAGCAAGATAGAGTTGACAGGTGGGTGGACGTCATAGACAGCAAGATAGAGCTGACAGATGGGTGGACGTCATAGCCAGCAAGATAGAGTTGACAGGTGGGTGGACGTCATAGCCAGCAAGCTAGAGCTGACAGGTGGGTGGACGTCATAGCCAGCAAGATAGAGCTGACAGGTGGGTGGACGTCATAGCCAGCAAGCTAGAGCTGACAGGTGGATGGACGTCATAGGCAGCAAGATAGAGCTGACAGGTCGTTGGACGTCATAGCCAGCAAGCTAGAGCTGACAGGTGGGTGGACGTCATAGTCAGACAGATAAGAGCTGACAGGTGGGTGGACGTCATATCCAGCAAGATAGAGCTGACAGGTGGGTGGACGTCATAGCCAGTAAGCTAGAGCTGACAGGTGGGTGGACGTCATAGCCAGCAAGCTAGAGCTGACAGGTGGGTGGACGTCATAGCCAGCAAGCTAGAGCTGGCAGGTGGGTGGACGTCATAGCCAGCAAGCTAGAGCTGACAGGTGGGTGGACGTCATAGACAGCAAGATAGAGCTGACAGGTTGGTGGACGTCATAGCAAGCAAGCTAGAGCTGACAGGTGGGTGGACGTCATAGCCAGCAAGATAGAGCTGTCAGGTGGGTGGACGTCATAGCCAGCAAGATAGAGTTGACAGGTCGGTGGACGTCATAGCCAGCAAGCTAGAGTTGACAGGTGGGTGGACGTCATAGCCAGCAAGATAGAGCTGTCAGGTGGTTGGACGTCAAAGACAGCAAGCTAGAGCTGGCAGGTGGGTGGACGTCATAGACAGCAAGCTAGAGCTGACAGGTGGGTGGACGTCATAGACAGCAAGATAGAGCTGACAGGTTGGTGGACGTCATAGCAAGCAAGCTAGAGCTGACAGGTGGGTGGACGTCATAGCCAGCAAGATAGGGCTGTCAGGTGGGTGGACGTCAAATACAGCAAGATAGAGCTGACAGGTCGGTGGACGTCATAGCCAGCAAGCTAGAGCTGACAGGTGGGTGGACGTCATAGCCAGCAAGATAGAGCTGTCAGGTGGGTGGACGTCAAAGACAGCAAGATAGAGCTGACAGGTTGGTGGACGTCATAGCCAGCAAGCTAGAGCTGACAGGTGGGTGGACGTCAAAGCCAGCAAGCTAGAGCTGACATTGGTTACAGGTATTAAAATGGAAATCATAGCTTATTATAACGAAAGACAGTCTCCAGTTTATTGCGCTTTCCTCGACAACGAGAAAGCTTTAGACAGGGTTAGGCTTATCAGTTGTTTTTTTTCAAATTGTGTAATTTTGGTATAATGGAACATTATGGCGACTTTTACGCACATTATATACCTCAATGCAGCCATGTGTAAGCATTGGAGCTTTTACCTTATGTGTGTTTCATGTTAAGCAAGGTGTTTGTCAAGCTCGCGTTTTATCGGCGTGGCTTTTTACTCTGTATATCAATGACTTGTTGTATTCACTTGATGATTCACGGCGTGGCTTGTGTCTTCCATGGGGTAATACACCCGGCATCCTACCCGGCACGATACTTCTTTAAGCAGCTTACCTGACGGACTGCAATGTCTACTTAATGATATATACATATATGCTAATAGATGGCATTTGAAATATAATGCCAGTAAAAGTGCATCTTCTACTCTATGGGAATATTCGCAAATCTGTCAGTCAACATGTTACATTTGTGCAAAAATACTTCCTAAAAAGGAATATGCAGCTTATTCTGGACTGCTTTTAAACACATCAAAGAAAATCTTAGAACGTACCCATTTAATATGATAAAAATTCAGAATGTTAGTCAATATAAGTTATAATCATGGTCTATAGTTTCGTGATTTAAATCCCATCCATGCTGTTCGTATATGGGTATCAGTAGACTAACATTTAGTCTCTGAAATCTTATATTACACAATATCCTTCTTGACTCTAAAAATTACAAAAAATTCCCTATGCTGATTTCAGAGCTAGCTTGAGCTGGCTAGACTTGCTTTTGTATGCATTTCTAGATTATTATTTTTTCATAAAATAAATATATTCCACGGTCATGGTGCAGGACTAGGGTATCAGTATCAACTCGATACAATTAAAGAAAAAGATGATAAATGTAAAATGTCACTCGTATACCACATGCTATCTCAAGTAAACAAGTTTAAACTCAATAACGATATAAACACCTATACTATCTCTTCTCTTTCCCCAACAAACAAATTAGTGTTTGTGACCGTAAAATATTGTATACAGAGCTTCACTCAAGAGGAAACCTTATACGATACTCTCTTATACGATCACCTAAGGTACACAGGCTATGGTTAGGAAGCTCTGAAAAACCGTAACACTTCAATGATTTACCATATTTACGGTCTCTTAACACCTACAGTATACAATCCGATGAATGTTTATGCGTCACATTTGCTAAAGATATAATCAAACATGTATCTATGTTCTGTAAAAAGACTCAACAACAAAGAAATATTCTCTAGTCTATAACTGATTGATTTACTAGATGTGACAACTTTTTCTAGCATCTGGAACGATGATGACGATACCTTTCTGTCCTTTCTACATAAAGTACTATGCCTACTGAATACAACTTATGGACAAATATAATGCTCCTTGTTTGTAAAACCCGATAAAATGTGGAAAAACCTCCTCAGTAACCTTACATGATAACGATGTGAAACTGCCTGTACATAAAATATATCACCTGTTATATATACATTGTAGAATACCGTAATATCTGATATCAATGTATCTTAATCACTTGTAGGAAATCTGTCTGTCTGTCTGTCTGTCTGTCTGTCTGTCTGTCTGTGTGTGTGTCTGTGTTTGTCTGTCTGTCTATGCTTTCAAGAAAAACAATCATCAGATTTGTACTTGTTATCAGATTCAGTTGAATGTTTCAGTCTCTTCTTCGACGTGATTTTAGACGTTAACTTCAAAGTATCATCGAACGAAATTGAAGAGCAGTAATATGTCAAGTGTACTTTTGCAGACAAGGTATAAATGGTACACGAATATATTTGATTTGTATCCAGTATCAGTATTTTTTTGTACCAGTTAGATGGGCGATATCAACCCATCTGCTCAACCATGTTAAAGAGTTGAACGTTTGTTGCAGATCGTCCCACGAGACTTCTTGTCATAATCAACGCCATCGGGGGCAGATGTCAAGGCCGCCATATTTACGAAACGAAGGTTGCTCCGCTGTTCGAACTGGCGGACATACAGGCAGATGTTATTGGTAATAGAGGCGTCTTGTGCATACTGGCTCATTGTGATGTCGTTCAGAAAGATCATATTTTCTCTATCATTTGTTTGATCCGTACCATGTGTAATTGTTTTATACAAGCCAACACTAGTATTGGTCTGTAATATTGTCTTGTTAATGTATTTGTCTGTAATTTCTTTTTTAAGTAACACAGAGGGCGGGCCACATTGAAGAGATTGGTCTGACGTATGACTTCTCCGAAGTGAACGGGTAGGTCTCTGCCACCACTTCAGTTCCAGAGGTAGTTGACCGTTGGGCGAGGTCAGTACTTTGTTTCTGACCAATACTTGATGTTAGGTTGTCACCATGTCTTAGCAGCAAAACAGGTCCTTATTTCTAAAGTCATTGTTTCTCCGCAACTGTAGTCTTGAATGAGTAAGTATTGTTTTACATCACTGGTAGCAATATTCCAGCGAGCGACACCAGGAATGGCGTACCCATCTGGGGAATCGAACTCGAGTCTTAGGCGAGACGAGTCAACGTGTTAACCACGTGGCTACCCCCGCCCTCTTGTCGTGTCAGGTAACTTTGTTAAATTATTGTGCTGTGATACATGAATAATCTACGATATATTCTTTCTTCCCTTGAGTAACGTCTGCTTATCGTCTCCTTGTGTAGCATCATCGTTGCGGGAGGTGATGGTTCCTTTTCTGAGATTATCAACACGCTGGTTCCCAGGGTGCAGGTGGGCGACACGGACGTGAACAATCACGCCGCCAAACTCTCCCCACTTCAGATACCCATCGGGATACTGCCGACAGGTACAACAGAACTAGTGCAATAACAGAGGACTTCCTCATAGATCATGTAGAGACTGTACACTAACAGAGGACTTCCTCATAGGTCGTGTAGAGACTGTACACTAACAGAGGACTTCCCCATAGGTCGTGTAGAGACTGTACACTAACAGAGGACTTCCCCATAGATCATGTAGAGACTGTGCACTAACAGAGGACTTCCTCATAGGTCGTGTAGAGACTGTGCACTAACAGAGGACTTCCTCATAGGTCGTGTAGAGACTGTACACTAATAGAGGACTTCCCCATAGATCATGTAGAGACTGTGCACTAACAGAGGACTTCCCACAAGGTCGTGTAAAGACTGTACACAAACAGAGGACATCCTCATAGGTCGGGTAGAGACTGTACACTAACAGAGGACTTCCCCATAGGTCGTGTAGAGACTGTACACTAACAGAGGACTTCCCCATAGATCATGTAGAGACTGTGCACTAACAGAGGACTTCCTCATAGGTCGGGTAGAGACTGTGCACTAACAGAGGACTTCCTCATAGGTCGTGTAGAGACTGTACACTAATAGAGGACTTCCTCATAGATCGTGTAGAGACTGTACACTAACAGAGGACTTCCTCATAGATCGTGTAGAGACTGTACACTAACAGAGGACTTCCTCATAGATCATGTAGAGACTGTACACTAACAGAGGACTTCCTCATAGGTCGTGTAGAGACTGTACACTAACAGAGGACTTCCTCATAGGTCATGTAGAGACTGTACACTAACAGAGGACTTCCCCACAGGTCGTGTAGAGACTGTACACTAACAGAGGACTTCCCCATAGATCATGTAGAGATTTACACTAACAGAGGACTTCCCCATAGGTCGTGTAGAGACTGTACACTAACAGAGGACTTGAGTATAAGGAAGTCCTCTGTTAGTGCACAGTCTCCACCCGACCTATGAGGAAGTCCTCTGTTAGTGTACAGTCTCTACCCGACCTATGAGGAAGTCCTCTGTTAGTGCACAGTCTCTACCCGACCTATGAGGAAGTCCTCTGTTAGTGTACAGTCTCATATGAGGAAGTATTCTGTTAGTGCACAGTCTCTACCCGACCTAAGAGGAAGTCCTCTGTTAGAGTACAGTACAGTATACTTCCTCATATGAGACTGTACACTAACAGAGGACTTCCTCATAGATCATGTAGAGACTGTGCACTAACAGAGGACTTCCTCATAGGTCGGGTAGAGACTGTACACTAACAGAGGACTTCCTCATAGGTCGGGTAGAGACTGTACACTAACAGAGGACTTCCTCATAGGTCGGGTAGAGACTGTGCACTAACAGAGGACTTCCTCATAGGTCGGGTAGAGACTGTACACTAACAGAGGACTTCCTCATAGGTCGGGTAGAGACTGTACACTAACAGAGGACTTCCTCATAGGTCGGGTAGAGACTGTGCACTAACAGAGGACTTCCTCATAGATCATGTAGAGACTGTGCACTAACAGAGGACTTCCTCATAGGTCGGGTAGAGACTGTGCACTAACAGTATACTTCCTCATATGAGACTGTACACTTACCACGGTATATGGTCTCTGGTCATAGGGAAACAGAAACGGTGTAGTTCCAATGCTGGAACCAGATGTTCAAATAATCCTGTTACTGCATCGTATTTCACTTTGTGATCTTTACATACTCAACTTTCAGGAACGGGAAATGAACTCTGCAAAAGAACGTACAACTTTATTGACGTGGAAACAGTCGCCCTTCACATTGTACAAGGTGGGTTCGTGATGCTTCCGTTATGGTATAATTACCATTGGACTTTGTGTGAGCTTATAACGTGTGACATAAATACGACATACACATATCGTAGTGTATATAGCATATATTGTAAATGGTCACACACACCAAAGCATTGCGTTAGTCAATAACGAGTAAGGTTGCAAAAGGCTGTTTCTGTTATAGGCAGCACTGTTTGGAAAGATTTGGCCAGTGTCCACGAGGAGGGTCGCCTGGTGGGTCTTGCCGGGGTCATGGTTGCTTATGGTTACTGGTGCCATTTCGTCAAAGGTGCTGACCAAGCCCGGTGGTTGAAAACCCTCCGATATCCAGGTGAGCTCTGACCACAGGTCAGGTGTGTACTGACAATATCATGTAAGCTATGGCCACAGGTCAGGTGTATACTGACAATATCATGTAAGCTATGGCCACAGGTCAGGTGTATACTGACAATATCATGTAAGCTATGGCCACAGGTCAGGTGTATACTGACAATATCATGTAAGCTATGGCCACAGGCAAGGTGTATACTGACAATATCATGTAAGCTATGGCCACAGGTCAGGTGTGTACTGACAATATCATGTAAGCTATGGCCACAGGTCAGGTGTATACTGACAATATCATGTAAGCTATGGCCACAGGCCAGGTGTGTACTGACAATATCATGTAAGCTATGGCCACAGGTCAGGTGTGTACTGACAATATCATGTAAGCTATGGCCACAGGCCAGGTGTGTACTGACAATATCATGTAAGCTATGGCCACAGGCCAGGTGTGTACTGACAATATCATGTAAGCTATGGCCACAGGCCAGGTGTGTACTGACAATATCATGTAAGCTATGACCACAGGTCAGATGTGTAATGACAATATCATGTAAGCTATGACCACAGGCCAGGTGTATACTGACAATATCATGTAAGCTATGACCACAGGTCAGGTGTGTACTGACAATATCATGTAAGCTATGACCACAGGTCAGGTGTGTACTGACAATATCATGTAAGCTATGGCCACAGGTCAGGTGTATACTGACAATATCATGTAAGCTATGACCACAGGTCAGGTGTGTACTGACAATATCATGTAAACTATGGCCACAGGTCAGATGTATACTGACAATATCATGTAAGCTATGGCCACAGGTCAGGTGTAAACTGACAATATCATGTAAGCTATGACCACAGGCCAGGTCTATACTGACAATATCATGTAAGCTATGACCACAGGTCAGGTGTGTACTGACAATATCATGTAAGCTATGGCCACAGGTCAGGTGTATACTGACAATATCATGTAAGCTATGACCACAGGTCAGGTGTGTACTGACAATATCATGTAAGCTATGACCATAGGTCAGATGTATACTGACAATATCATGTAAGCTATGACAATATCGGGTACACCTAGTGTGCTGCTCATCTGCACTTGTTTTGGGATGGCAAAAATGGTGAAAACCACTTGATGAATGTTATACAGTATACGAGCCGTTAAACCAGAGGTTTTCTTTCAGTTGGTGTTTTGACCAGCTTTTTAAAAAAGAAGAGAGAGTTTGACGCAGAGATTGAATATGTTCTCTACGACAGCACAAGTAATACCAGGTATTTCGTTAACACATGTTGGCTTCGTAATTTCTTTATGTAATATGGGTTGAACTTACAACCGTTTGGGGGGCGGTCGGGTAGCCTAGTGGTTAAAGCGTTCGCTCGTCACGCCGAAGACCCGGGTTCGATTCCCGACATGGGTACAATGTGTGAAGCCCATTTCTAGTGTCCCCCGCCGTGATATTGCTGGAATATTGCTAAAAGCGGCGTAAAAGTATACTCACTCACTCACTCACTACAACCGTTTGGCTATGTCAGTAGCAGCCTTTTGGTTGACGGCTTGATCAGATTGTGTTACCTATCTGCTCTGCTATGGGTGTTAATGTAGGACAGTATACAATGATGATATTCTCGCGTATACTTTCAGTGAGGCGGCAAGAACCTGCAAAGGTAGGTATATATACATACATACCCCACTGGTAACAATACAAGACACATACATGTGAATATACCTTCCATTGTAGGTTGATTCTTAGTACTCCACTTAGTGGTTTGTTAAAAGTGTTACGTTGTAAGACCAAAGTAGGCATTTTCCATGGTTATAACCCTGAAGCATAAATCATTTAAGCATATGCTAGAGTGTTCCACTGTCTGACATCGCAGGTCATTATTGAAATGAGAAGCCTCGTGAATATTTACTTTTTCAGATTGTGTACAGATTCAAGGTCGCTTCACAGATGTAAACTGTGTTCTGTCTCGCTTGAATACAAACGATAACGAGGCTAAGGCTCTGTACAATCCTGGCGGCATGACGCTAGTGACGGAAATCTTGTCTGGAAACCTCCAGTTTGTGAAGTTCCTATTGAAGCTCAACAGTATGCGCAAAGACAGTGTAAGAACAGGCTCTTGATGAGGATGTCGTCATCCACATGCCATATTTAAAGTAAATGGTCTTGTAAATCAGTCGCTACAGAAAGTAACGATCTTTTTGCTAGCTTATTTCCACTACACCCAAAAATAGTGAATGGTCTGAAAGACACTGAGACCGCCCAAATTCTGAACGTTAACCCAATATACCTGATCATCTGCATGACATGGTCTGTAAAACTAGTAGATTACCTAGCACACCAGATTTGATCTGCTTGTATATATTTTTTAAACTGCTGTCGAATTTTCAGTATCTTCAAGACTTTATCAAGATGTACGACGTGACGTCTTATAAGCTGAAGGTCGCAGATACAGATAACAATGGCGGCACATCCGGTGATGGCGAGGACGTGGTACACCTCATCCTTCTTGATGGCGAGATCAGAAGTCTCGACTCCCTGGAGCTGCATGTCAGGTGTGTTTAACTTCAACGTCGTCATATTGTCTTTAGATATTCTGCAGATAGTGTGACCTATACTAGCGGTGACATATCGGAAACATCTCAGATGAGAGACATATCCGATAAAATAATCGCTATAGTTATAATGGACGCGTTACCGTCTTCATGTTTTTGTTTCCAAGCGAGAACAATTGTATTAATTTTTGCTAAATTTGATTTATGGAAAGAGGTTAAAACTTTCAAGTCTGATATCCAGTCAATACTAAATAGACCAACGATCACGTGGCCATGTAGATCTGTTGACCTGGTTTCCTGACAATCATACATTATGATGAAGTAGACAGTCCTTGATTGTCGAAAGCTCACGTTCGGTAACTAGCCAGTTCTAACAACCAGGTCAAAGGCCGCATGACCAGGACTAGAAATATTCGTGGACTTTTGTTCACATAATTGACGGATTTGGAGAGTATTTGTAAAGGTAACTGGTGTATTTAGACAAATTGAATTTTGTAGAGATCGTAACACAACCCACACTTTTCTGTTTCAATGTATTCAGAAGCAATACAATAGGGTCAGGTGAGTACAATGCGAAATACCTCGGCATGTGTGTGCTAGCCAGTCAGGGATGTTCGTGTAGACTGCATATACTACCGTGAGTATATACATCGTACGAGTTGCTACACATGGGACGGGGGGGGGGGGGGGGGGGGGGGGGGACCAAGCTTACATCATGAACCTGTTTCTTTTCAGACATCAACCCAACACCTGGAAACTATTTTATAGTCCACCCACGGAAGTAGCAGTGATGGGACAGAAGCTGGATTGAAAGCTGATGGTACGGGTGACGTGGTAACGGGCGGAGTCACGGTGGAACACGTCAAGAATATATGTTACAGTCAATAGCTAAATTCAGTCACTGAAAACGACTGAAATCTGTACTGCGCCACAATACTGCTTACCAAGCTTACATCATGAACCTGTTTCTTTTCAGACATCAACCCAACACCTGGAAACTATTTTATAGTCCACCCACGGAAGTAGCAGTGATGGGACAGAAGCTGGATTGAAAGCTGATGGTACGGGTGACGTGGTAACGGGCGGAGTCACGGTGGAACACGTCAAGAATATATGTTACAGTCAATAGCTAAATTCAGTCACTGAAAACGACTGAAATCTGTACTGCGCCAGAATACAACTTACCTGAAAATGTCATTGATAATTTTAACAGATTGACAGATTCTACTTGTAGGTACAAAACCATCACAAAATTCAGATAAGTATAATTTGCTTGTTTGCAGATCCCTCCTCTTTATGGAAATAAATATGTTTATATCAATCACAAAATGGGATTAAATATGAAATAACTGACAGTTGACGAAATGCAGGGCAAATAAGATACAGCTAGCCGACAGTGCTTCTGATTTCTCTATTTCTGGAAAAACGAGTTGCAGTGCTGCTGGTATCTGTCTGGTACAACGAGTTGGTTGTGATAGTGATATCTCTATGTCGGTTCGTCCGTTTGAGGATAAGTTAATTGGTTAATGTTAATGTTTTTGTTTTTTCGATGCTGTATTTCATGTACGGGTGATATTTTGGAATATTATTGTCACCTAAAGAAAATACATATTTTCATGTTTGTTGGGTCGCTTTTTGCACTCGTAACATTGTATCTAAATGTTTTGTCAGCTTGAAACTAAGAATAATTTCACGGAGCTGTGGGATCTGCAGTGGTATATGAAGTAATGGTTCATAGGCATTTGTTATATCAGTGATACAAAATTATATTTTTTTACACATTGTAACAATCATCGGTCCTCAGAATTTGCACAAATGTTTTTCTTATACTTGTAATTCTAAAGTATGACATTTGGTTGTACTTTGATCTCTATATTTATGTGCACATGTTTGTGTGATGTTAAAGGGCAAGTTCACACGGAAATGAACCTATTTTTCATGTACTTTTTCCACATTAAAAGTGTTAACCTAGAAGTGTCATAGACAAAAATATAAAAATATCACAATTAATCAACATAATTTCCGCATTAAAGCTATTTATATTTTTCACATTTACCAAGTGTTCTATTTCCATAACAAAAACACCATGGCTTATGCCCCTTGCAATATGACGTCATTGGTGCCAATTGATAAACATTATGACGTCATCATGCATTGTTAGAGCCGCTTCACGTGGTGTAGGTACAGGTGTGTAATTCTTGCGTCTCAGATGCCAGCTAGCATAGTGTTATGCTGAGTCACCACTGCGCCGGAGTGTGTCGTAGGCCATGTTGTTTTACCGCAAACTGGTACTTGATATCTTTTGCGTTGAGAATAGACAGGGACCCAGTTGAATTGGCACCAATTACGTCATAATCTAAGGGGGATAACTCAGGCCTGTTTAGCTCGAAAAACGAAGGCCTCATAACGGCATATCATTTTCACACTATTGTGAGCTTCCTACTTTCACCGTGAAAAAATTAGTGTATATTTTCAAACACAGATACTAACTAATTCTAAAATTTCGCTTTGTTCAGAAAACGAAAGAAAGTAACTTTTGCGTGTACACTTCCCCTTTAAGTAAAATGTTCATAGACGAAACATATAAATGTATAGTCATCATACCCCTCGATGTCTCGGTTTATGCCAATAAACTCTTCTTTCACGGTTTATGCCAATAAACTCTTCTTTCACGGTTTATGCCAATAAACTCTTCTTTCACGGTCTTGTGTCGTTGTGAGAGAACAGGGCCGCAGTCGTCATATACAAATAGTTGTTTGGCTGATAGCATCCCATTATCAGATCTACTCAGCCAGATAATGAGTCCAGACCAGTCTTTATCAATTTGTTTTATATGTTGGGAAAACTGAATCTAGTACAACTGTGGACGCAAGAACACAAACCTAATACTCGCATCAACGGGTTATTTGAGTGACGTTTGACGTTAGAAATATACAGTTTATAGCAAAAACCATGGCTTTCGGACGAGTTGGTGACGGGTTGGGTCAACAACAACCACGCCTGATGCAATGCTGCTTCCAATTGGCGTAAATCTTGTACAGGAGGATCTCCGCCCCAGAATATCCCTAACATGTTCAAGGGGGTTCAGATCTGGGATCATCTGAGTCGTTATTGCACGATGAGGTCTGGCATTGTCATCCATGTACTGAGGTCGAGTAGTAAGAGGGTGGTTGTCAAAATGAGGAACGACGACTGGCCTCAAAACGTCCCGGATGAACTGAGCCGCTGTTAAGTTGCCCCTTATGGTCACCAAATCCAACCTGCAGTCATGAGAAATAGACCCCAAAACCATTACCGAGACCCCGTCGTATGCAACTGTCGGTTTAATGTTCCTCGGGGTGTAGGCCGTGTTCCGGTGCCTCCAAACTCCGACCAATGGCATTACATGACATTCCTGCGTTATGCATGCCGATTATTTGCCATCTTGTGGCGATTGATAATCGCCTTCGTGCCATGGTCACACAATGTCATGGAATAACTGTTTAAAACCGAGCTTAAGAAAGCAATTTTAACGTTTGGATATACTGCTTTTAGAGATACTCGAGGGTAGCATGCTGCACGGGCATACCATGCATGGCACGTGAGCTTTCATCAGGCATGACTGATTCCATCATCTCGAGAAAAAATAATTCTTCTAGTTATAATATATTTCATGACTGTTACAAATATTGGGATCAAATAATAATGAAATATATAAGGGTGTGCTTAACCTTTTTCTTTGTATATAGCGTTGATAGGTAAAAGAAAAGAAATAACAAAGGGCAAATGGAAGCCAGCTAGATAATTGGCACCGGCAAAGATAAAACCAATAAATTCCAAGCACAAGGAAGATAGGTTCCCTGGTCACGGTTCATGGCTCTCCTGATGTCATGATCAATAGCTTCTTGTAGTTTTCTTTGTCGCCAGTTGTTGTTGGTAGACAGGACTTTGGTGGCTTCACACATGAGGAAATTGTGTAAATTGAACTTTAGAACATAGGATTGATAACAAAGTCTCTTAATCATTGGACCACCATGGATAATAGTTCAAACCAATTGTAATAATGTATATTTGTTTTCATACAATTTCATTTCAAACAGTTCATACTTTGAAAAATATATTAGGAAATCTTGCATCTACACACTCGGCCTCTTGAACATACTCACAGTGTGGGGCGGTCGGGTAGCCTAGTGGTTAAAGCGTTCGCTCGTCACGCCGAAGACCCGGGTTCGATTCCCGACATGGGTACAATGTGTGAAGCCCATTTCTAGTGTCCCCCGCCGTGATATTGCTGGAATATTGCTAAAAGCGGCGTAAAACCATATTCACTCACTCACTCACAGTGTGTTTAACAACATAAACCAAATCTACAAAAATGCAGGATGACAATGTTATTAACAGGACATCAAACACATTTTAATTAATTGTTTGAGGGAAGGAGCAAAACGAATTTGTGAATGGGTCATCGCAGTTCAGAGTCTTTGGTTTTCAATATGACACTCCTGACATATCCACTTTTATCAGGCTCAGTTCCGGTCACACGACCCATAGACCAAGTGCTTCTGGGAAGTGAATCATCTATTATGAGCACGATATCGACTTGTTTGGAGCAATGTTCTGAGGAAATGGATGCCAAAACAGATTTGCTGTTACTAATAAATTTGGTAAGATTGAATCTTGCTTGCAGATTGCAAATCAGTTATCAGCTCAACAACTACTTGGTTGTTTTCAAAAGACTTGGGGCAGTCGTCTACATAAAACGTTCCTTTCTCTGGTTTCGCCAACTTTTGCCTCATATTTTGACTTTGCATTTCTTGCAGAAGCTTTTATGGCCAAAAGTGGGAGATGATACTGTTCCAAAAGTGTGTACAGTCATTTTGTTCACCTGTTCAATGTTCAAATCCCCGTTAGGTCACAACAGAAACCTAGGAAAGTCCGCCATGAAGGCAATATCATCTGAGAGGAATCAGCATATCATTAAGTGCACAACCATCAAATTTAGCACTGCAGTCGAATGCCACGCGAATCTTATTTGGCCTGGGTGATAGACACCATGATGTGGTAATTACTAAGTTTTACCTTCTTGTCTGTTGCATTTAATCTTCAGGGACCTCACAAGCATATCTTTTAAACAACATGGTGTCCATAAATTTGACATAATCCTTATGTTACTTGTCTTTTAGCATCTTTTGCTTTTGCCAAATGACTTGTTTAAGAGCTTATTCCTTTGCTACATGGGATTGGAGACTCGTTTCTTAAAGGATGAGGAATTTCAAAATGGCCATCAACGAATTTGAGATTTTGTTCAGTGTCTTTCATAAAACCGAATGTTGGTTCGTTCGCCGACTTAGCTGCAAATTATGAAGTCGAACAGGTCTGGAAAGCCAGAAGTGTGGTTTCGATTCCTTGCTTGGGTTACGCGATCCCTGCACTTGGTCTGCAGGTACTGTCGAAGCAATTGCTTGCATATGTGGAGCATGATTAAGAACAATCATGTGTGAAATGTCTTGTAATATTTGATCAGAAGAAAGGAGAACTGTTTAAGTCCCATATAGTCATCAATTTTCAATACAGGCCATGAAAGACTTTTGTTCAAGTATGCTGTAGAAACTTTGTGTGGGTCACCATGTTCATTATCAATAAATCTAATTCCTTGTTGTAGCCAGTATTTACATGCATGTAGAGCAACCAGAAACGAGATCCATTGCCTCTCCTTGCAACTTTTGACCAAGGTAGTAAAGTATATCAGCATCGGTCTGTGCGTGTGGAACAATCCAAGCATCGAACGCCATCAAGAAAGCTGCAAATTCCGTTGGGTCAACTTTGAACTAGGACACTTCCGGATCCGGTAAAAACATGGCGTTGGCCACATGTCTGTGAGTCTCTAGGAAAACATGGCTTGATGAATGAAGTTGGTTATCAGATACTCCTTCATGATCTTGAACAAAGTTATTTGAAATATTGCTATTTTCCTGCATAAAGTCATTTACATTAGGATTTAACCATGGCTGAAAGGACTGATCAGTGTAATGCACAGGATTCGACATTTGCCGAGATGGCCAGTCAGTGCTGTGATTCACAGGATTGAAAAGTATTTGCTCATCGCCCATATCAGGTTTAATTTCGGATCTGAAAGGAAAGATCTGATTTACCCCACCGTGGTCTGCACCTTATATCTTTACCTTCATCTCTGTTGTTGACTTTAGCTCCGCATCGGCGAATATCTGTTCTGTCGGCCTGGTCTTGGCGATCTCCTTGTCAAGCTGCAGCTTTGTCATCTTCAACTGCGTTTCATGCATGGATGTCTGTGTCATCGAATGTAGCATGGCCTACTCGCTTTCTCAAAAATATGAGCAGACCTAGGAGAGCTAATGGTAGACTTTTTAGAATTAACTGAACGCTTAGACAGCCCACTGATTACAGAATTTTGTTTAGAAATGGATTCTCTGTTAACTTGATCAGACAACTCACGTTCAACACCTTAGATCCAATTCACGACCAAATCCCCGAAACCATGAGCTTCATTCAGCCTAACCTCAGCATGCTGAATAACCTTCATTGTTTCCTCAGGAGTGTCAAGTTCACAGGAACAGAGCTGAGAGAATTTTGCATAACTGAAAAACAGAACTGCAAAATTATCAAGAAAACATTTAACTAAATGCAAATTATGATTGTTCATAAGAGAAACGAATTCAATTTTGCAGATGTCAACGCAGAAAGAGCCGCAGTACTCTTGTTCCACAGCAAAAATATGTGTTCACTTTTGCCCTTCTCCGTCAGAATTCTTTGTCGTACTGAATGTTGTGTGGTGTCCTTTTTCTCTTCACCTCCCAGCATGTCCCAGTATTCGTCCTCCACTGCAGCAATGGAAATGGAAAGGGTAATCTCTCACGTCTCTTGTAGCCATGACTTAATTCACTTTCAATGAATACAGATGTCACTTTCCAACAATTAACACCTGTTGTGCGATAAACTGCTTAACAGTTAAACGTTAACTCCCTGTACTGTTGAGCCAGAAACAGTTCAATATCACCTTGGAACT